TTGGGGAAGAATAATAAAATGACACACCGGCCCTCAGAATAGAACAATTCCAGCATATATTTAAGTGAATATAATAGATTATTGTTTAGGCTTGCCAATAAAGATACATTTTTACATGTATATCAAGTTTACTATAAATGAGCAATACATTTTTCACAACTACTCAAAAATTTGCATTTTAAGCATTTTGAATTAGGCACCACCAGTTTTTCAATTGAAAGCCCAATAAAAATGGCATCAATCATGACAAAAAGTCCATTAATACGGTTTTAAATACTGTTAAGTAACTTCTTAAAAAGATTCTCATCTCATCCCTCATGTCTCCCACTTATAATAAACCTTACCTGGGAGAATCCCAATGTAAATATTCTAAAATGCAACCCTTTTAACATGGAGAATGATGAGGACAGTATCCCTCACCATTTTAACGCTCCTACGCCAGCTGTATGAAGGGTTGCTTCTGTCCTGGCTTATTACATTATGGAGAAATAGAAGTTAAGTCTTAAACACAGCCTTCAAAGTCTACCATGCATTCTAAGCTACTGTGAAGAAACAGCTGTTTAGGAGCAAAGATTTGATGAAAACAGTCTTATAATCACCTTGGGAAGGTGACTGGTTTCTTTATATCATGATAGGTACTTTGCAGCCCAATAAAACCAGAATTCTGAACCAAAACACTAATTATTTATGTTAAGTAAACTGACATCAAGCAAGCATCAAAATAGATCCACATTTTCAGTTTTGTGCATTTCTAAACAGTTACAACCAAATCATACCACTAATTTCTCAGTATTTGCATGTTTTTCATGCTTTTTCACTACATGTGATTTTATAAACTATGTACCTCAACTAAACATCTCCAAATTGTTTTGAAATGATTACTGTATAAGGCAAATAAGGCATATGTCTAAGTGACAAAAGTATTACTGAAGATATATGGAGTGGGAATGTGGGTCATTTAATCATGTCCACTCCTTGGGCAGAAAAGCTTTTTATCATAAGCATGTGTGCATGCAAACCAACCAACCAACCAACCAACCAACAAAAAAAAAAAAAGGCTAGCAACATTCATTTATTTCCTAGGATAGATTCTGAAGTTCCAGGGCTCACTGTCTGGTTCTGCCAAATTCCATACACCAGCTGAGTTAGTCTTTATCTCAAAATACACTTCAGAAATGAGAGAAAATCATTTTCTCTCATGCTACAGCAACTGCTTTTTCCCCAAGAACTACACTAGAATTGTGTACCACCACACTCCAAATTCTGCAACTGCAGATAATATTCTTGGGATGGCAACCAGAATCCAAAGGCTGCTACAAAAATCCTGAGGAGTTGATGTGATACAGAAGCCGCTAGTGCTTAAACTCCCTAATGCAGACCACACTAACTTGATCCTCATGATAAGCACCACACTGACAGTTCAGAGAACAAAGGATTCACTATATACTTCATAAATAAATGTAGCAGAAAGAGCAGCTCTCATACTTTCACAACAGTAAGCCTTGGACTTAATGTTAGAGAACCATTTTTTCCAAATAAGATGACAACTATTCATTTCTTCTGGCAAAAATGTCAGGGAAGACTTACATTGAAGGAGGACCCTAACTGTCCCATCTTCAAACTAATAACTAATTAAATGATTTTAAAAGATATGCAGTTAGTGTGATACTGACTTTACACTATCTATCAAGCATCCTTCTGCGGTGTAGAAGTGATTCATTTCTGTATGTCTAAACCATTTGTCTTGTAAAGTGGGTCACTTCAGGGGCACAATCACTACAACACAGCAGTAATGACAGACATTGTACTAAAAATGAAAATAAACAAAAACATATCCCAGGATTAGGATTAGCAGTTGTTCCCAGCTCTGAAAAAGGCTGGAAACTACTGAGCTAGATCACACTGATTTCTCTTATCACATGCTATTTATTTGCACATGATTGCCAACTGCTCAAAGAATGGCAACAATAAAGAGGGGGGTTAATATATAAATACATTTAAGGTTATTAGGTTAGTGGACCAATCAATGTGATTTTTAATAAGAGGTCTGGCATATAAAGCAGAAGTGGCATGAAAAGGACCGTGCATTTCTTGAGCAAACAATTTAAGTCTAACTAGCCATTTCTCAATTGCACTGTCCAAGATCACAATGAAGGTTCTGCTCTCTGCGCTGCTAAGTGTTCCTTCCATCCTGTCCAAACGAAGTAAGGTGATACTGATAAGATTTTGCAAGCTTTTTAAAATTACTGTTATCTGTGAAGATCAGCTGAAATTCAGAATCAGGAAGTCAGAATACAGTAAAACCTTGGATTGCAAGTAACTTGTTCTGCGAGTGTTCCACAAGACAAGAAAGCATTTTAAAAATCCTTAAAAATTATTTTTATCCACCCTTCACAGGACTCTCCCCAGGAAAACCTGGTCAACCTTTTTTCATTTCTGTAATAATGTTATTTAGAGAGGAAAATTAAGGACAGAATCTTATGGCCTCCCAGTGCTTTCAGGGAGCAGTAGAAGCATAGGATTATTTGGAGTCCCAGCTCTGAGAGCCTATGTAGGCATGGAAAGAAATGCACTGAACTCAAAATGTGAAGACAAGAGAGGGGTATGCCAGGGGTGGGGAGGGGAGAGGGCTGAGGGCAAAACTTGTGTCATTTCCAGCCTCCCTCAGACCCTCTCCCAGGCACTCTATCTAGGTCTCCAAAACTGGACATCTAGAGAAAAGTCAGGGCATGAGGCACTGTGGTGGTGATTGCTGTCACTATGTTCCACAGAAGGAACATAAACCTCCAAATCTAAAGGCTTAAGGGGCTAGGATTATGCCCTAAAATAGGCATCTTATTACCCAAACCCTCCACATTTGGCTTTTTCAGCAAAAAACATACTGATGTGGTGAAAAGAATAATCTTAAAATTCTGAAAGAGAAAAATGCTGTACAATGAATCAAAGATTAAAAGTTGTTTCATGTATTCTTAGATAATTAAATTTGCTCATGGTCTGGCTTTCTGCCCTGGTTTTCATCAGCCCTATATTGGATTACTCTTGTCACCATGGACAGGCATACAGAATTGCCTGTCTGTCAAAATAGAGGTTTGGACAGCAAGCCTTAGGTGATTGATTAAGACTGCACTGTCATGCACAAAAATTATTTTACACCCCATCCAGCCTTACCTAGAACTGAGATAATTTTTATATCGGCCATCACTAGTTGAATTCAAATGCACAGAGGCTTAACATCATGTACATTTAATTCTCACCAGTTTTTCTCCATAATGTATTTCATTTTCTCTACTCATCAACAAGGACTTAACTAATTTCACGAATGAAATCTACTTATACAACTAATGTCAAAACATCTATTTTTGCCCTTGTACCCATATTAAGAGAATAAGACAAAGTCTCTCATACCTACTCACTTACATTTTTGTATTTAATAATGATCATTTCAGCAGTACGAGATGTCCCACTAAATTTGCTGGGCTTATTTATATGTAGCTTGTTTTATTTTTATTGTATTTTGAGACACTGCAATTGTACATTGTTGTAAACAGTCTAGGCAAGTATGTTGGTACTAAAAGAGCAAAACAGAAATCTCTATATAAAGAAAGAAAACAATTTTTTAACAAATCATACTCTTATGTTAATAGCTGATACACAGGTAGAGAAAAAACTTATAATAGTCTCTGCAGTGAGTTAAGAATCTGCTCCAAGTAATCAAGCAGACAGCTACTATAAACTGAAAGAACTGATTGTATGTGTCTCTCAGACCCTCACTACATCCAAAATTAAACTATGACAACAAACCAAACCAATAAAGGAACATTTAGGCTAGTAAAAATGGAGTGGGACTAGTAAATTTTGTGGACATTTGTAGGGCAGGAGTTATACATGAGAAATAAATGCATTAGGAGGAAAATAAAGCACATTCCTGTTTATTTTATATTAGTTAAAAAGACTGCCAGTTGATTCATTTATCAAAACTAAAGGGAGCTCCCTCAAAACAGATGTCCAAGATGAGAAGAAACTTATTTATGTGTTATACATACAGGTGGCTTACTAGCAATTAATTTGGT